CCTCTCCGACACCTCAGTGCCCCCCAGGAGGGCCCAGCGGAGGGGCGCAGGTGGGAGACGAGAGGAATGTCGGGGGATGGACCTTGCCCTGACAGTGCAAGGACTTGTGTTCGCTAACTCCCCGGCGCCGGGAACTGCATCGTGTCCTCGGTTTCCCTCCCTCCTAAGCCCACGGTTTCTGTTCTCTCTGTCCGGGTGACGTCTGTGAAAACGTATTTGAAGACGCAACGTGCCACGTGCTGAGGAACAGTCACTGCTCCTCACCCACCGGCCTGCGGTCCGAGCTCACTGCTTACGGGGCCCCTAAGCGACAGCCCCCCGTCACGCCCGCGTCAGGCTTAGCCGTCAGACCCTGACGAGAACCCTCGCCAACAGTTTTCGATTCCACTTAGGCTCCACTCTTAATAAACGCGGTGATAACCCAGATGGTCAAAGCGGCGTGACTGCGTCTTAATAAAACTTCAAGGTTTGTTCTAACAAATGCGTCTGCCCCCCAAAATAATACGAAACTCAAAAATGCCAAGATCATGAAACAGCTGATGGCAGCTGGAACTAAAATGGTATTTTGTAAACAAATCGCCGTTTTTCAAACTTGCGGGGTTCCTGCCCCGTCCAGTCTCCATGGGAACAGAGCGACAGAACCGGAAGCCAGCCGCTGAAATGGACTCCTGGTGATGACAGCGGTTCCGCTTCCATGGAAACAACACGGAAGCCGTGGAAATTCTGGAAGCCTTTTAAATGTTACCTGGAATGCCCAGACTGAGGCAGCCCTTTCCAAGCAGGTCACGACCGCGGCTGATGTGGAACAGCAGCCACGGATGAAGCCCCCCTCCTGCGGAGTTTTGCTGCTGGACACGTACTGAGCTTTGAGAGTACTAGAAAGGCTTCTCGAATATTCTACCAGATCAAATTACTGATAAAGACTTTAAGGTATTTTTAATCGATGAAAGCCTGCCTGATCACCTTTTTTTTTAAAGATGTATTTATTTATGCAGACAGAACTGGGGTACGGGCCAGAGGTGTGGGGTGAGAAGACTCCCCAGAGAGAGTGGGGAGCAGAAGAGGCAGACAGACTGAGGTACTCTGCCGAGGGGAGCAGCAGGGAGACAGGAGGGGTCTGCTGCGCCCTGGGGGTCAGCTCCAGGCTGGGAATCGAACTCACGCTGAAGCGGCCACAGGGGGCTCGCAGGGCTGCGCCCTAACAGTTGTTCCACCCGGGGCGCTGTCTAACCAACGCCACCCTCAACTCTCCATCTTCACGTAAAGTGCACGCGCTGTCTCTGATTTCCTTTCCCAAGGAGCCCTCGGTTACGGGACTCGGCTCTGGAAGCCCCGATCGGGCCGCACAGCTTAGGGGCAGATCAGGCATGCCCCGGGC